CGACCGTAGCGCAATCCTACTGCTGAGGCGCCACGCAAACGCCGAGACGTCCGAACGCCCCCGGCCGGACAAAAAAAACGGTAAAATGCTTTCGTATACTCGCGATTTCAAGCCGACTCAGACACCTAAGCGTGCGTTTCCTGGCGTTGGTCTCCTCGCGCGCTCCCGAAAACGACGACGGTGACGACGACGACGACGACGTCCGCCCCGTGGAGCGCTCCTGGGGAACCACACCGACGGCGACGACGTCGACGGCCCCATCGAGCGCTCCCAAGGAGCCACACGACGACGACCGCGACGATGATTCCCTCGAGCGCTCCCAAAAGTCACGATGACGACGGCGACGACGACGACGACGACGACGTCCGCTCCCTCGAGCGTTCCCAGGTACCACGCCGACGGCGACGACGACGACGGCTCCTTCGAACGCTCCCACAAAACCACACGACAACGACCACACCAACTGCGACGACGATGGTCCCCTCGAGCGCTCCCGGAAAGCCACGACGACGACGACGCCCGCACACTGGAACGCTCCCAGGGAACCACACAAACGGCGACGATGACGGCGGCCCCTTCGAGCGCCCCGACGGAACCGCACGACGACGCCCACGACGATGGTTCCCTCAAGCGCTCTCGAGCGCCGCGACGACGACGACGACATCCGTTCCCTCCCAGGGAACCACACCGGCGGCGACGACGACGACGGCTCCCTCGAACGTTCCCAGGGAGCCGCGCGACGACAACAACGATGGTTTTCTCGAGCGCCCCCATGCACCACGACGCCCACGACGACGACGAAGTCAGCTCCCTCGAGCGCTCCTACGGAACCACATCGACGGCGACGACGACGCCCCTCCGTGAAGCGGTCCCCAGAAACCACGCGACGACGACCGCGACGACGACGACGACGATGACTCCTTCGAGCGCTCCCATGAGCCACGACGACGACGACAATGACGACGGCCCCTCGAGCGCTCCGAGGGAACCATGCCGACGGCGACCACAAGCAAAGCTCTCCTGGGATACGAGATGAAATAAAACTTCAAGGCGGATCGAACAGTGGCACCGAATGCAGCAAATTCAATGCATTTGCGATTCGGGGTGCTGTGCCCAGCCCCGGAGACCTCGACCAAAATCCCTGCAATGAAACGTCGGGGCGCTGTCAAAACCACTCGCAACGTGTTACAATCCTCTACGATTCGCCCCAGAGACGCGCGAACGTGTTACAATCCATTGCGGTTCGCCCCAAACGCCCTGTTGACAGGGAAGTGCCAACATGTCTTAACGAGCACATTTGCATTTCTTATCCCCAGAGCAAATTGTGAACCCCCGGGCACCGTCTGGGACAAGAAAGCGCGGCGATCGAACGTAAACCATGCATCAAAACGGTCGAAAACGCATGCCAACATCGAAACCAACACAACGAGCGAGCTTTTGGCTTCCAGGACCTTGCGAATAACCACACCAGAAAGCAAGGACGATCGGCAACGCGCAAACAAATCACGCTAGTGCCCCCTTATTCAATCGCGTCGCTGAATCCTTCCCGCTGCCGCCAATTTGGGAATATACCCCCTGAGCTGCGGGGGCCACCGGGCGCCCACATGGGGGCCCCAAAGACAACGATTGACGGGCCTTCGACGACGCTCAAGCGCGCGGGGGTTCAGGGGCAACGGCGCGCGCGACTGTCAGCGCCCCCGCCGCCTCCCGCGCGGCCTCGGAGCCCGAGAGAATATTTTCCCTGCGCCGCGGGGGCCCCTGAGGACCCACACGGGGGGCCCCGATACAACGATTAAAGGGCCTTTGGCGACGCTAAAGCACGCGCGAGCGACATGCAACCTTCCTCGTGGACCTCCTCCCCCTCCCCCTCCTGCCCCTCATTGACTAAAAAACCACTACATTTCACACGCGCGCGCCTCCTCCGCCCTCCCTCCTCCCCCCCGCCGGCACGAGCAAAGCGACGTGCGTCGCTGCCGCGCGCGTGCGCATCTTTTCCGAAACCGAGCCCGCCGCCGCCGCGCGCCCCCCCGTCTGCGCGCGCTTCGCCATGGCTACACGCCCTTGCCCGGATGGCGCACGCGGTCGCCGACCCAGCCCCGAAGCTGCGAGTTCCGCGCCGCCACGCGCCCGCCCGTGCCGCCCCGGCGCAGCTGGAGGGACGCCCCCTCCCAAGGACGCGCGTCTCCCATCCCAGACGCGATAAGCCGCGAGCTGCCCTGGGCGACGACGACAACGACGACGACAACGACGACGACAATAATGACAACAGCGACGCGAAGGGACGACGACCACCTGTGACGCGGTCGCGCATGAGACCCTCGGCGCCGACAACCTCGCGCCCCGCATCCTCCTCCACGCACCCCGTCTCCGGCGCCGACCAGAGGTTCGCGAACGAGGCGATGTGCCCCGCGCGCCACTTCTCGACCTGGGGGCGCCCTGAAACGCCACCGCGCTCCCTGGCGCCGCAATTGGGGCCCTCCATGGGCGCGCTCATCGCGCGCGCGCTCCCCAGCGCCCTGCGCGGGCAGCTTGCGCGGTTCCCTCCTCCTTCCCCTGGGTCCGTCGTTCCTTCCCCCTGCCTCGTCGCGTGCGGGCTGGGAGTCGCCCCCCCCGCCTCCTCCTCCTCCTCCACCTCCTCCTTTGCTCCCGCTCCCGGCGTCGGCGCCCCCGGTCCCGCTCCCGGCGCCCCCGATCCCGGCGCCGGGCGCGGCGCCGCCGACCGCCTGGCCGTAGGCTCCGTCGGCGCGGGGCGCCCGGCGTCGGCGGCAACCAGGGCCGCCGCGCGCCTCTCGGAGCTGCGCACCTGGCCAGGCCCAGCGCGCGGCATGGCGCCGCCGAAAGCAGAGGGAAGGTCCAAAGCGTTGCTGGCGGCGCGCGCTCGGCGCCGGCGCAATCGTCCTCTCTCTTTTTTCGCCGCCGTCGTCCAGGTCGTCATGGTCGTCGGCGGCGTCGTCGTCGCCTCTCCTGCTCTCCTCCTCCTCTTCCTCCTCTGCTCCCCGCTCGTCCAGACCCCTCAGGGACGGGTTCGTCGTCGTCGTGCTTCGGCCCACTCAGAGAAGCCCCCAGCCGCGTTCCAAAGCGTCGCTGTCGACGCCGCACTGTCGATGCCGCCGAGGCAATATAGATCTGTTCTCCCCCCCCCAAGCGAAGGGGGGGCGAAGGGGGGGTAGAGCGCTTGCTCGTTGATGTCCGCAGCCGATGGCCGCCAGCATGGAACTTCCCCCCATGAGAAGGGGGGGCGAGGGGGGTAGATCAACCCTAACCCTAGCAGGGGGTACTTTTGGGCGGGGGGTGGGAACGGGAACGAAGAGCAGCCGACCCCCTTCACTCCTATAAACAGGAGGGGGTCGAGCTGCTTCCACCCAGGAAAGGTTGGCCACGCGGTGGGGAGATGGAGGTATAGGACTGTAGATTACCAATTGGTTCGAAAGAATCGGGAGTGTAGTGGCTAAGCGCCGGCGCAGTCGGGTAATTCACTGTGACGTGGTAAGTTGCTATGTGCGTGCGCAACACCTGATGTAAGAGCCAGCACACGAAGACGTAGCCAGCTCCGATACCAAGTGGGAACCAAGGGTACAGGGCTTGACCATAGGGTGATAAAACGACGGCGACTTACCGAGGATCATCCCACAACACACCCCTTTTATGGCAAGCGTGGCGAGGATGTGAGAGAGAAGCCATGGGATGTAGGGCGGATCATAGATAGGCGCGGCTTATCTCCGATGCTATGATCCCAATAGCATCGCACGCGGCCGTGCAAAATAGCAACTCCGACACCGCTGCCTGAAGCAAACGTAGCGTCGGATATAATTAGCGTTCGCTACACAGCCTCACCTGGAACCTCGTTCGAAGTCCCAAGACGGCTCAAGTTTCGCCCCAGGTGGCCCAAGAGAGCCCCATCACGGCCCCAGGGAGGGGCCCGAGAGAGATACCTCGAACAGACATGCGGAGCCCTCCGCTCCAAGAGGACCCCCGAGACCGCCAGGTGCCCAAGGAACTCCCAAGAGGGGGGCACGGGCGGGGCCCCCAAGAGACCCCAAAAAGGGGCCCAGGGGGTTCCCCAAGGGGCCCCCCAAAAAGCCTCGCCCCGCAGGCTTCATGCCCCTTTTCTGGGGGTCGGCGGAATGGCGCAAGCCTCCTGAATAGACAAGGAGTCGCGAAGCTTGAAGCCCAGATCTGGTCCACACGATCACTTCCAATGTGCGTGTGTGTGTGTTTCGGATAAGGATAAAGGGGAATGCTGGCAGATTGCCTGCTGCGCGCAGGCTCAACATCCCTTTCAAGAAACAATACGAGATACATTGTATGGTCCAGTCTTGATCATGCGCGGGCGCCCCGTGAACACTTGCACTGTCAGTTGGCAAGAGTGAGGGGGGGGCCTGGCATGCGCTGCTCACCTCACGGCTGTCGCGGACCTGGCTGGCGTGGATGCTTCGCCAGCCAGATGCTAAAAAATCTTGGGCAGGAGTGCCACAAGACCGCGAACTCCAACAGGTCAGAGCATTTATCCCGCATTGCCGAAGGCCATTGGCCGAAGGCACTGAGCAGGGCACCGCAACCTCGCAGGTGTGCGTAATCTTTCAAACTTCGCTACGCGAATGGGGTCGAACCTCGCTGGCGTGGTTCCCGATGATTCTCCACGGCGGCCCTACCCATGAAAAGACTCGGGTGCTACGTCTGCGCTGGGACAGCGGGTCCTTCCGGGGAGGGGGGGGGCTCCCTGGGTCTGGAACCCTCCCGGCAAGTGCTTCAAGTGCCCACGATGTCCCAAGATCGCTCCAAGGTGGCCACAGGTGGCGCGAGATGACCTCCAATGTCGCACAAGGCGGCTCAAGGTAGTCTCCAGCGTGCCTCCAAGAGGCTCCAGAGACCCCTCCAAGACGGCACCAGGTGGCAGCGACACCGACCGTCGTAGCCCCTGGCGGTTTTGCCACTGTCCGCGCTCGCAACCCCGTCCCTGCCCCATCGGCAGCACACGCGGGCGGGGCGGGCGGAGCTACAGTTCACGAAGTAGATGCCGCGAGGGTGGGAGTCCTGCCGCCGCGGCGACGCCACGAAGTGATCGAAGGGGCAGCGGCCGACACGGGCAGCGGCCCTGGCCCCGGAGGTGCCCCGAGGGGCTGCCAGGGATGCCCAATGAGCATCGTTTCTCCGATCCCCACCCCCAGCGGCGTGGCCTGGGCCCCACTGGCCGATTTACCCCCCTGGATGGGGATATGGGCCGTTCCCCTCGGGTTTCGAGGGGTGTATCCCCAACCGGGGGGGGGGAATTTGGTGGGGGCCTCGAGGGGGATGGGAATGGGGATGGGGATCGGATAAACGATACTGATCCAAGGCAGCGCCGGGCTGGTCCTGTGCTGAGGTCCGAGAAAAAAGCCCGAGTCCCCTGGGACGGCCAAGAAGCCCGGGCACCTCGGGCAAGGGCCCTTCCGCTCAGCACGCGACCCGCCCGCTCCGCCCCAATCCAGCCATGGTAGGGCGAATGCCGCGTCCACAACAGTACAAGCAACGAAGCGAGGCGATTCTACCAGAGCCGACGTCGGACGCCCAGTGGAGATCGACCAGGCATCGACGGAATGCAGGGAGGGCAATGGGAAGAGACGAGATGGGAGATGGACCTGACGGCGAGGAAGAGGGAGCGGACGGTCAAGCGTTGTGCATGTCTCATGATCGGCCAATCTCTGATTGGGTTCAACCGTACGCACCAAAACATCGCGCAAGACTGAGCGCGTAATGTTCAGGGCCGCTCCGGTAGAAAGACAAGTAACACCGAAAAACGTCACTACTGGGAGGTATCCGGTACGATGTGGATCGCATGAAGGATAGACATGGAGAGACAGAGAGAGAGAGAGATGTCTGTATTTGGCTCATGGTGCATCAACTGTATAGTAACGGGCCCATGCTGGACTGTTTTTCATCGCTCGACGGCGGTCTTTGCTTGCTACTCGCTAGCACATGGCAGGCCTTGCTAGAGGCGATACGCATCGTCCCACAATCAATACACATCTGCCCTATCCCAGCACAGCACGTCCGCTGAGTTCTCAATGCGGCTGGGGCTGTGCAAGTCCTTTTCGAGGCCTCCCAAATACGGAGCAAAACAAAACATATCAGGAACCACCAGGACCCCAGGAACACTGGGGAGGACCCCGGAAAGAAATCCGGGCAATCCTGGGGAACCCCACAGGCGACTGCCGAGGATACCCAGGGACCTGGCGGAACGGGCCGCAGTCGACACGAACCCTCTTGAATAGAAGGAATTGCCACCCCCAGCAAAGCAAACCTCACAGCGTGGGCGTAAAAAGGGGCCGGTACTTGATTGCACCAATTGGGGTCAGCTGGACCACTTGAAGTCGCGGGGGAAGAAAAAAGGAAGGATGGACAGGTAATCGTTTGCACCACTCGGGGTCTGTTGGGTCAGTTGGACCAGTTGGGGTCAGTGGGGGTCAGGTCTAGGCCAGGCGAAATACTGCGGGCCAGGCGGAACACACATCTGGCCCAACAGACCCAACTGGCCCAACTGACCCCCTTGGCCCAACGGACCCAGCTGGCCCAACTGACCCAACTGGCCCAACGGACCCAACTGGCCGAATTGACCCAACTGGCCAAACTGACCCTACTGACTCGGGAGGAAAAGGTCCCTCCTCCTCCTCCTCCTCCTCCTCCTCCTTCCCTTTTCCTTATAGATAACTCCTCCCCTTCTCACACCAGACTTGTCTGTTCCGCGGGACGGTCGTTTCGCCTGAGACTTTCACCGCTTTTGACCCTGAAACCAAAACATTGGCAACAATTTCACACATGGAGGGCGGATGGTTTTCAGAATGTGGTTCTCGCACTAGCACCGCGCACATTCGTTCTTCATGAATTCTGCCAGGGTCTCACGGATTGACGGCGGTCCCTTTTCAAAATGTAGCTCTCGCCTTGGCGCCGCGCACAGTCGTTTAACGGGTATTCAAACGGTTGTCTTCCAACGAGGCGGTTCCCTCAATCGAAATGAACTCTTGTAGGGTCCTATGACGGAAGAGCTTGGAGGGAGGGTTCATCCCAACACCGTTGATGGCTCTTGGGTTTGCAGTGGTCTCCCTCCTCCATTCCTTCTCCTTACCGTTAACTCCTCACTGTCGCACCCCGAGGCAAGTTTTTAGGGCGGGCCGGGCGTTTCGCCTCAGATTTCCTCACCACTTATGACTCTGAAGCTTAAAAAGTGACAACAGTTACACAGATGGAGGGCGGGTCGTTTTCAAAATATGGCTCTCGCCTCAGCGCCGCGCACATTCGTTTCCAAACTTTGCGAGGGCTTCATTGATTGAGGGCGGGTCGTTTTCAAACTGTGGCTCTCGCATTTGCGCCGCACACATTCGTTTGTACAAAAATTGCAAGAGATTTCCGGATTGAGGGCGGGTGGTCTTCAAAATGTGGCTTTCGCCTGAACGCCGCGCACATTTGTTTTCAAAGTTGCAAGAGCTTCACGGATTGAGCGCGGGTCGTTTTCAAAATGTGGCTCTCGCCTTAGCGCCGCGCACATTCGTCTCCAAAATTTGCAAGAGCTTCACGGATTGAGGGCAGGTCTTTTTCAACATGTGGCTCTCGCATTCGCGCCGCGCACATTCGTTTTAAAGATTTGCAAGAGCTTCACGGAATGAGGGCGGGTCGTTTTCAAAATGTGGCTCTCGCCTTAGCGCCGCGCACATTATTTTCCAAAATTTGCAAGTGTTTCACGGATTGAAGGCAGATCGTTTTCACTATGTGACTCTCGCCTTAGCGCCGCGCACATTCGTTATAAATATTTGCCAAATCTTCACGGATTCCCATGATCAACGTACCAAGAATGATGTTTTGGACGGATTCAGGACTACGCGGGTGCAACAGTTATGTTGATTCGCGGCGTTGACATCAACAATGGCGTTGTGGCACGATTCCAGATCGCCAAAACGCAGCAGTCAGGTTGATACGTGGCGTTAAAATCCCGAGAACAATGTTTTGGCATGCTTCTGGATCTTCAAACGGTTCTTCCAACGAGGCAGTGCCCCTCCATAGAAATGAACCTTTGTATGGGGCCTATGAGGGAGCTTGGAAGGAGGGTTAATTCCAACATCGTTGATGACTCGTGGGTTTACACTGGTCCTCCTCCTTCTCCTCCTCGTCCTCCTCCTCCTCCTCAGAGCAAGCCGAGCCGGCGCACGGGCTGGCGCGCGGGCCAGCCGAGCCAGGGGCCGACCACCACCTCCTCCTCCTCCTCCTCCTCCTCCTCCTCCTCCTCCTCCTACTCCTCCTTCTCCGCCTCCTCCTCCTCCTCGTCTCATTTCTCCCCCTCCTCCCTCCTCCCTCCTCCCTCCTCCCTCCTCCCTCCCTCCTCCTCCCTCCTCCTCCTCCCTCCTCCCTCCTCCCCCTCCTCCTCCTCCTCCTCCTCCTCCTCCTCCTCCTCCTCCTCCTCCTCCTCCTCCTCCTCCTCCTCCCCTCCTCCGCCCCTCCCCCCCGCAGAACCAGCGCGCGGGGGCGGGCGGCGACGGCAGCAGCGACAACCCAGGCTAATACCACAAGCTAAAACCACAGGCGCTCGGAGGAGCCATGCCCGTAGATTAACACAACAAGCTGATACCACAGGCTCGGCGGAATTCCACAGGCTATTAAGGCCACAAGCTCACTGGAATGCTGCCAGCCAGGCTAAAGCCACCAGTTCATAATCGCTCGGCGGAGCAAGGCCCGCAGGATAATACCACCGACATGGGTGGAATATCCCAGCCTGGTACCGCAGGCGAAGACCACAAGCTAGCACCACAGGCGCTAGCCGAAGCCAGGCCCGCAGGCTCAGGCCAAAGGTGAATATCCCAGGCTCGGCGGAATACCACAGGCTATTACCACAGGCGTGTTACCGATCCGCGAAATCAGGCCCCTGGGCTACCACCACGGGCTCGACTAATACTGGTGGCGAGTACCACAGGCTAGCGGCACATGCAAATACTACAGGCTCATAACCACAGGCGAATTGCCGCTCAGCGAGGCCAGGCCCGTTAAGTGAATACCCACACGCTAATATCACAGGCTCGCCGGTACCACAGGCTTATACCACGAGCGAATTGCAGTTCGCCAGAGAAGGCCCGCGGGCTAACAACGCACACCAGCTAATACCACAAGCTTGTACATCAGGCCACTTACTGCTCAGCGGAGCCAGGCCTGAGGGCCAATACCACAGGCTAATACCCCGGGCTCGGCCAATACCTCAAGCTAGTCCCAAAGAACGTGCACATACGCATGGCCCGGAACGACTTTGGTGATACTCATGGTTAGCGATGAACTGTGCTTTCGCCGGTTTCCGAAAACAGGACCTAGGATAACTTACAGGGCAGTGTTTGTTACATGACTTTTAAACATATAGGTATCTTTATACATGATTAATGTATGAATTAAGTTATGCATGAATTCATCATCGCTTTTGATACTAAATCCCTGCATTTTTAATAGATGATCCGCACGCGGAGCATGTATTAAAAACGGCGCTGTAGCAGGAGAGGGGGGCCAGGCAGACTTAACGAGACCCCAGGTTATCACAGAGATTAGAAAAGGACTGAGGAGGACATAGGAGGACGAGGGCCTGGGAGCAACCACGAAGACGCAGGACGACGAGGGCATAGGAGCTCCCACGTGGACGAGGACATGGGAGCAACCACGAGAACGAGGACGTAGCAGCAGACACGAAGGCGACGACATAAGGGCCACCCAACCCTCCACCAAACCGCAGTACACGAAAGCCTTCTGTGTACCTTGCTATTGGGGCCATGTCGGGGTTCTGTGGTATACCTTGTGCTATTCGCTGACTCTGTGGTGCTAGCCTAGAGTATGGGCTTGCGGGGTTGGCTCCGCCGAGCGACTGTGGTCTTAGCCTGTGGTAGTATTAGCCTGCTCCTCCAGAACTGTCCGTCGCCGTCTTTACTCTTTACTCAAGCTGCTCGGTGTTGGCGCTGGCGGCCAGTTGCCGGTCCGTCCGAAGCTGGCTTGCCAGGGGGTGTTCCCCGCTGTTGCCTTCTTGTCCGCCCCGCCGGCGCCCGATGGCCCCAGACTGTCGCATCTGCCTGGACAACATCCACCCCAACGTCCCAGGGGACCCCGCCCAGTCGTTGGCCTGCGGCCACACATACCACGCCGATTGCTTGCAGCGCTTGCACAAGGGGATTTCGCTCATCGCCACAGGCGGATACCACAGGCTCGGCGAATACAACAGCCCCGGCGAAAACCGCAGGCTGATACCACAAGCTGATACCACAGATGCTTGGCGGAGCCAGGCCCGTGGACCAAAACCAGTCTCGGCTAATACGACAAGCGAATACCACAGGCCAATGCGACAGGCGAAAACCAACGGCGAATACCACAGGCTAACCATCGCTCGGCGAAGCCAGGCCTGTGGACGAATACCAACGGCTAATACCACAGGCTAATGCCCGCGCGGCTGAGCCAGCCCTGCAGGCTAAGCGAAAGTC